TTTTCATTTTTGTGTCAATTAAACATATTGTTTCTTTTCTTGTTCCCCTCCCTCACACCCTTCTATCCCTCCCTTACATTTTATAAATAATTTAATGCAAATAGAATAATTTAATAAATACTAAATCATATAATTTGTTTTTCTCAGTTGCCTGAGGGCAAATGGGCTCATCAGAGAAAGCAAGAGAGAGAGAGAATGAGAGAGTATTGAAGAGACAGAGAGGGAAAGGGAGAGAACATCTTCAATTGTGCACAGTCAAGTTACAATCCCTTCTCAATCTCCGCAGCCTTTTGTTATTTGAGGTATGCACGCACATGAGGCCAGCATGTCTTTCAAGTTGTCAGGGCCAGAATTTGAACCACAGGTGACCATGTGGGATCTGGCTCCCCTATACTAGGTCACAAGACCAGTCCTTATTTCCTATTAATGATAATACATCTTTCAAATTTTAATAACAAATAATACATTTTAAAACACTTCAAAAAAACAAAAGTACTACTATATTTAAAGAACTTATAAAATTTAATGCAAAAATTGAAATATTCCAGAAATGAAAAGATTAATATAATACAATGTAGAAACTGAACATAAGTTTGTAAAAAAGGAAAATAAAAAGTTTAATAAAATTTCAAACTCTAGAAAAATAAAATAATTATTCAATATGATTAAGAATGCTATTTTAGGGAACCAGCAGTTAGCGTAATGGCTATGTCGCTGGACTCCCACGTAGTCGACCGCGGTTCACGTCCCGGACCCAGTGGCTTAGAACTCACGCCGGGCGCGTGTGCGTGCGTGCCCAAGATCCCAAGAGGAGAATGGAGGAGAAGTGATTGCGGCGTGACCATCCCCCTGGGGGGTGATTTCTCGCTTTCTGTCTCTATGTCTCTCTCTGTCTGTCTGGCGAGTGCACGTGCCCTGTAGCGAAAATCTCTCCAAAAAAAAAAAAAAAGAATGCTATTTTAGAAATAATAAAAATATTTTATGTATTATTGCTATTTTCTAACATACTAGGGATTTTGGCTATTGAAACAGTGGGGAAATACATAAACATAAATAAAATTCTTATTTTTTATGACACTATATTTGACTTAAAATATTCAACTGGGCTAGCTCTGTAGAACAGTATTCATATGCTTTACAAAGGAAGCTAGATCACACTTGCCCAACCAGGGTTCAAGTTCCACTTTCAGTGGCTTGAAAAACACATACATGCTTGCCCAAGATTCTAGCAATATTAATAACTGGAGGAGAGAGGTTTGTGGCATGACCAGGTACCATTAGGAGTTACTTCTTCTCTATCTGTTCTCTCATTCTCATGTACACACATACATGTACCCTCTCTATCATTAAGAATAAACATTCATCTTAGAACTAACTAGAACTAAGTGCTATTCGATATGAAATAAATTGAAATTATTCAAAGGAGGTATTAAGTGTAGTATGCTTTTTTAAAATGTACCCCCTATATCTCAAGTTGATGCTTTTTTTGTTTGTTTGTTTTTTATTATTTTTATTTATTTATTTATTTATTTAGAGATTTTTGCTACAGGGCATGTGTGTTCGCCAGAAAGACAAAGAGAGACAGAAAGTGAGAAATCACCCCCCCAGGGGGGGCAAAAATTGAAATATTCCAGAAATGAAAAGATTAATATAATACAATGTAGAAACTGAACATAAGTTTGTAAAAAAGGAAAATAAAAAGTTTAATAAAATTTCAAACTCTAGAAAAATAAAATAATTATTCAATATGATTAAGAATGCTATTTTAGGGAACCAGCAGTTAGCGTAATGGCTATGTCGCTGGACTCCCACGTAGTCGACCGCGGTTCACGTCCCGGACCCAGTGGCTTAGAACTCACGCCGGGCGCGTGTGCGTGCGTGCCCAAGATCCCCAGAGGAGAATGGAGGAGAAGTGATTGCGGCGTGACCATCCCCCTGGGGGGTGATTTCTCGCTTTCTGTCTCTATGTCTCTCTCTGTCTGTCTGGCGAGTGCACGTGCCCTGTAGCGAAAATCTCTCCAAAAAAAAAAAAAAAGAATGCTATTTTAGAAATAATAAAAATATTTTATGTATTATTGCTATTTTCTAACATACTAGGGATTTTGGCTATTGAAACAGTGGGGAAATACATAAACATAAATAAAATTCTTATTTTTTATGACACTATATTTGACTTAAAATATTCAACTGGGCTAGCTCTGTAGAACAGTATTCATATGCTTTACAAAGGAAGCTAGATCACACTTGCCCAACCAGGGTTCAAGTTCCACTTTCAGTGGCTTGAAAAACACATACATGCTTGCCCAAGATTCTAGCAATATTAATAACTGGAGGAGAGAGGTTTGTGGCATGACCAGGTACCATTAGGAGTTACTTCTTCTCTATCTGTTCTCTCATTCTCATGTACACACATACATGTACCCTCTCTATCATTAAGAATAAACATTCATCTTAGAACTAACTAGAACTAAGTGCTATTCGATATGAAATAAATTGAAATTATTCAAAGGAGGTATTAAGTGTAGTATGCTTTTTTAAAATGTACCCCCTATATCTCAAGTTGATGCTTTTTTTGTTTGTTTGTTTTTTATTATTTTTATTTATTTATTTATTTATTTAGAGATTTTTGCTACAGGGCATGTGTGTTCGCCAGAAAGACAAAGAGAGACAGAAAGTGAGAAATCACCCCCCCAGGGGGGATGGCCACGCAGTAATCCCTTCTCCTCCATTCTCTTCTCAGGATCTTGGGCATGCATGCCCATGCACCCGGCGTGAGTTTAAGCCACTGAGTATGGGACTCAAACCATAGTCGACTACATGGGAGTTCAGCAACATAGCCATTAGGCCATCTGCTGTGCCCAAAGTTTTTTTTTTTTTTTATTTTTGGGAGAGGATAAGTTGATAGGTTTTAAAGTTGCAAGAGTATCTCATCAATGGATGAGTGCCCAAAGTAAAAAAGAATCTGTCTCTTCTAAGAATTATGTACACGATTTATTGTTTACTGAGAAAATGTGAATACTTTATTTACTTCAGACCTTAAAATAGCCTGAGAAGGGCCAGCTGGTCCTGTGGTGGTTAACGTGGCTGGATCCCACATGGCTGACTGTGAAGTTTGAGTCCCAGACCCTTGGTTTGAGAAATGCACTGGGCATATGTGCATGTGAGCCTAAAAGCCTGAGAGGAGAGTAAAGGTGAAGAAACTGCTGCGTGGCAATCCCCCTGTGGGATGCTTTTTCATTTTCCCTCTCTGTGTCTCTCCAGTGAACACAGGAGCTCTATTACAAATTAAAAATCAAAACCAAACAAAACAAAAACAGCAGAAAGCAGCCTGAGAGACAGACAAGAACAGTATGACTTTCTCTTTAATTTGGGTTCTAATTTTTTCTTGATATGTAGTAAATTTATAGGATTTAAAATTAAAATGTCCAAAATAAGAGATAAATTCTTCCCAGACCATCCTAAAGGGAATCTGTGCTATCAGATTCTTATATCTTTCCAGAGATAATCTCTGCATATAGAAATCAATATGTTTCCAGGTATTTTGCACAAACCGTAGCAGCATTCTTTCTCACTTGAACAATACTGACCAAGGACAACAATACTAACTTTGCCAAGGCTATCTGACAGTAAAATTAGAAAGCAGCATGGCTACAGCTAAAATGTATACTGAGGCCCTCAGTACATTGTCTAATGCTAAGTCTTGATGATTTTTCAAATAAAAGGAGTGGTTATGCCCTAATGTATATATTATATACACATATTTTGTCCTCTGAAAATTGGAAGCAATAATTAAGAGATAAATTTTGAAATACCTCAAATGAATTTCTGATTCATCTTCAATTGGTAGTAACACCAATACATTTAAAGTTTCAATAAGTAGTCATTTCCTCATTTTACAAGATTTAGGTAAGAATGTAAATTCAAAATGGAAGACAGTTAAAGAATTTTCTTAACACAGTTTTGTAAGGTAAGTAGTTGTTCCTTAATTATCTATTTTGAACATGGTAATTTTGAATGCTGAGTTGGCATAAAGTTGTGCACACATCCACTACATTTTTGCTATCAGAGTTTTTGTTTCGTGGTTATGTATAAATGTTTCATCACCCTATCATGGTCAAATCAGATGTAATTATAACTTTAAAAGCACAAAGTATTGTTTTGAGTACTTCCATTTTTATTGACTAATTTCAAGTTTTATTGATATTTGCAAGAGCCATGAGAAGTTTGTTAACCACTTTTCAAATTATCTCCTGCATACATTTACAGAATGTACTATGCAAATGTATCATGTACATTACTAATCTCTTGTGTTATATCTATCCTGGAAAAATAACATTTTTAAAACAAAAACAGCAATATACTCAAATGAAGATCTGGAATGAAGAATATTCTTAATTAACAGAAAAGAACAGGAACAGCTAAAGTTATATTCTGAATGTAGCAAATGTGTCAACATTTCAACCATCTTTAAAAGAGCAACACAATATTTATTTCAGGAAACAATGAAAAATACAAAGCTATTGCTTTCTACCCCACTGATTGACTACTTGTGTTGAGGAAGGATTATCACATTAACACTACTGATGTGATGCATATAATAAATAAAATAAACCTTTGTGAGAAATTATGTTCCAAATTGTGAAATACTAATGTTTCAGAGTGCACACAACTTGCATTAAAAAACATGATTAAAGAAGCCAAATCCTTCTATTAGCTGCACTGAACCCCTAAAGCAATTTAGGAATTTGTTTCTTACAGACAATTAATCACATGCAGGCGTGCCAGATGAGAACTATTGATTGCCCTTTTCCAGGCTAGTGGCATTCAGACAGTAGACAGACAAATGCCCTAAGCAAGGGGAAGCATCTTTCTGCTTCTGCCTGGTGTAGCTTTTAATTGTTCTTTCCTAAAATGCGTGACATTTGCTGTTAATCTTTAGTGCAGAGCTTACTTTCTCTTTTTAGAGCAATACGCATATAGGTATTATGTTTTTCATTTACCTTCACGCCAAGGTCCTTCATAAGCTCAATCTCAAAATTCACTACATCATATGGCAGTCGGAACTGAGGGATTTCAGAAGTGCTTTAAAAAAAAAAAGCAGCATTAGTGGTAAAATTACTAATCTTAAAAAAAGCAACATGTCTTTCTTAATCCCTATTAAAGGACTAAGCATCTCTTATAAGGGTATTTATATGTCATATAATGTGAGGGAGGGCATCCACATTTTTATTAACATGGAAAAATATTAAATGTACTATTTAAACCTATAGTAGTAACTATAAAAATACAGAAATTATAAACAATGGAAAACAACAAACATAAAACAGTTAAATGCAATTCCAATACTTTATGTTTAATAATGTAGAGAGTTGATTTATTTAACAATTCTATAAATTCCTAAGATAATAAATCTTAAAATTCAAAATTAGTTCAAAATTAAAATTTAATATATGTGTATATATACACACACACCATATTCTATAAATATACCTACGGCTCATTAAAATTCAAAAGCACAATTTTTGCATTAACTTGCTTTTTAGAATTTTACAGAATTAGTTTCATGTGACCTAGAGAACATATTTACGATCAACTAGTCTTCTATGAAAGCAACAAGTGTCCCAAAAATATGCAGTCACTGAAAATAATCCTATTAGAAATCAATCCCATTGTCTACCCTTTATACAAAACCATGATGCCTATAATACTTTTAATTCAATCTAGAATACTTAAGGTAAGCTAAAATAACTTCAAAGTTTTACAATAATAAGAAGACTATGTGTGTCCATGAATATACAGCAATTCATTTATTTATTAATTCATTCATCTATTCAGTCAACAAACGTTTACAAAGTTCCAGGCACAGTGGTAGCTGCAGCAATCTGATGGCAAATTTTACTGAATTCCCATTTTTAATAACTCTCTTTCTGATGGAGAAAGATACATAACATAAAATTAAAAGATGTGCTCCCTCAATGAAAAAGATAGATTCAAGCATTACAAAGGTTAATTCTAGAGTAAATAAATAAATGTTGAAGATGAACTTTCTGAACAATCCAGTGGAAAGTCGTATGAAGAGCCTCTGCAGCCTTCCTTCTTTGCTGACCTGAGAACTTGATTATTCCGCTCGTTTTTATACATCAAATGAGCAGAAAGGAACTATCTGCTCACTGCTAAAGATGCAACGCATTAAATAGTATACAATCAAGGCCTTATACTAAAGTATTTTTCTAACTAGTTAGTAATAGAAGATTATATGTAAGAACAAATGCGGGCCTGAGTCAGAGATACAATCTTAAGCTGACTTGTTCCAGCCATATTACCTCAGGGTCTGAGGAATGCCCTGGGCACCACAGAAGGCTTTGCCTTCAAAGGCCTCACAAAAGATTCTTAACTATTATGGATCGTATGTAGACACAAACAGACACCCAGCCTTGAGAGGCACTGGGCTCTGTGAGAGAGAGATTAAACATGGACTAAATAGGGTCTGATGCAGGACCTCAAAGGGATGAAAGGGAAAGCAAAAACAATGACCTGTCAATAAAGAATGTCAGCCAAATAAACCCACCACAGCAAGGTGAGGGTCTCAAGTACATCCAGACACACTGCTAGGCTGAACACCTTCCTATCAATAGCCTCTACCCCAAGATTTTTATGGAAACTAAGTAGGAATGCATGGAATAAAAGGAAATGGTACAAAAGCAGGCAAATGATTCTGATTTAATAGTTCTGAAAGAACAGGTTATAAGAAGCAAGAATGACTTTCTATTGGACAGCAAGAAAGAGAGAGCCCATGCCCAACCTAGCAAGATGAAAGTTGACCAGGGAGGAGCAGGTGTGATCCACGGCAGGGTAACTTGGAATGTTGATGCAGCCACCAGAGCAAATGGAATGCCAGGCTTCTGGGGCTGAAGCAGCTCTGTTTAGAACCTCTTAAAACCCTGAAGCCATTGTAGCCCATGTATGTGTGAGAGACAAATCACATTTTTCAGCATCTCCTCAAGGAGATAAGGGGAATGTGAGATATGAAAAAATGCTAGTTAGATTTGGTCATAATCAAGTAGACAAGGGGTACAGAAGTGATTATTGAACGTTATAAATGTGACATATTTATATTCACTAATACACGACATCATCACACAGATGGAAGACACACAAATATACATAGTACAAAATGACAAATGTAAAATAACAAATAAAAATGAAAGTTTTCAAAAAAGGAAAGCTTATTGTGAGACATGATAACAAGGTAGTAAAATCTCTAAGGACTTCAATGACATTGATGAAAGAACTTCGATGTTTTTAACCTTGGTTCTAGATTCCAGAAATTTATAGACATTTGAGTGTCTAACCAGTCACTCAAAATTATTATGTATAAAAATAAACTTTAAGGCCAGCAGATGGAGCAGTGGTTAAAGGTGCTGGATTCCCATGTGGTTGACTGCAGTTCTAGTCCCGGACCTAGTGGCTTGCTTTCTCAATTTTCCTTTCTCTCTCTCTCTGCCTCTGGTCAATTTTTTAAAAAAAATAATAGTAATAACAACTGGAATTAACACTGCTAAAGCAGTCATAAGAGGGAAGTACATAGTCATTAGTGCACATAAGAGGAAGATGGAAAGAAGGCAAATGGATCACCTAATATCATGCTTTAGAGAATTGGAAAACCAACAGCAAAAAAAAGTCAAAAAACTCCAGGAGAAAGGAAATAATAAAGATATGAACAGAAATAAATGAAATAGAAAATAAGTGAACAATACAGAAAATAAATGAAAGTAAAAGCTGGTTCTTTGAAAAGATAAACAAAATCAGATGAGATGGACAATTTCCTGGACACATATAATCTACCAAGATTGAGCCAGGAGGATATAGAAAGTCTGAATAGGCCCATAACAAGCCAGGAGATTGAATCAGTAATAAATAACCTTCCAACAAAGAAAAGCCCTGGTCCTGATGGCTTCACTTCTGAATTCTATAAAACTTTGAAAGAAGGGTTAACCCCCATTCTGCTCAAGTTATTTCTAGAGATCCAAAAGGGTGAATCTCTCCCTAATTCATTCTATGAAGCCTCTATCACCCTTATCCTTAAAACAGATAAGGACAGGACAAGGAAGGAAAACCATAGACCAATATCCCTGATGAATATAGACGCAAAGATTCTCAACAAGATATTAGCAAATCGTATACAACAGCTTATAAAAAAGATAATACAACATGATCAGGTAGGCTTTATCCCAGGAATGCAAGGTTGGTTCAACATACGCAAAACCATAAATGTAATACACCATATTAACAGGAAGAAAGATAAAAACCATATGATCATATCAATTGATGAAGAAAAAGCATTTGATAAGTTACGACATCCCTTCATGATCAAGACTCTCAGCAAAATTGGCATAGAAGGGTCATTTCTCAACACAGTAAAAGCTATCTATGAAAAATCCATAGTGAACATCATCCTGAATGGAGAAAAGCTGAAAGCTTTCCCACTAAAAATGGGTACAGTACAAGGATGGCCATTTTCTCCATTCCTTTTCAATATAGTACTCGAAGTCCTCGCCAATGCAATCAGAAAAGAGGAACAAATAAAAGGCATTCAAATAGGAAAAGAAGAGGTGAAACTCTCTCTATTCACAGATGACATGAATGCATACATAGAAGACCCAATGGTTTCCATGAAAAAATTTCTGGAAGTAATGCATGAATACAGTAAAGTTGAGGATACAAAATTAATATAAAGAAATCTATAGCATTTCTATATACGAACAACAGGCAGACTGAGATAGAATTGAAAAAAGTTATTCCATTTACCATAGCCACAAAAAGTATAAGATACTTAGGAATAAATCTAATCAAAGACGTTAAAGACCTCTACAAGGAAAACTACGAGAAGCTAAAAAAAAAAAATTGAAAATGACACAAAAAAGTGGAAGGATATCCCTTGTTCCTGGATTGGAATAATTAATATAATCAAAATGGCAATTCTACCCAAATTAATCTACATATTTATGGTAATGCCAATCAAAGTACCTGACACATTCTTCACAGATCTAGAAAAGACAATCACAAAACTCATCTGGAATCATAAAAGACCCTGTATTGTCAATACAATTCTACACAAGAAGAGTGGAATGGGTGGCATCTCATTCCCTGACCCAAAAACATACTACAAAGCTGTGGTGATCAAAACAGCATGGTAATGGCACAGAAAGAGATGCATGGACCAATGGAACAGAATATGGTCCCCAAAATAATTCCCAAACATACAGTCAACTGATTTTTGACAAGGGGTACCAGTCGATCCAGTAGGAAAAGGACAACCTCTTCAGTAAATTGTCCTGGAAAAACTGGATTTCCACCTGCAGAAAGATGAATCTGAACCCCTACCTCTCACTTTTGACAAAAATCAAGTCCAGGTGGATCAAGGATCTAAATCTAAGATCTCAAACTGTAAAACTGCTCCTGGAAAACACTGGGGAGATTCTCAGAGACACTTTGGTAGGGA